AACAATTTTGCCCTCATGACCTTGCCAAGAGCAAAGGTATTTATAGCAGCAAGAAATCTGAGATAAGCTAGCGGGCTTTTGGCAAAGTCTGGAAAGGTAAACCTGGAGTCCAGGCTGGAAAACCCAATTTAACACTGCCTGGAACTAGTTATGAAACTCCTCACCACTGTTACCAATTCTGATTCCAGAAGCAGGGAAACAAATCAAGGTTTCTGGAAAGACCTCACCCTGGCATTCAAGACGTTTTTCAATCAAGTCCCAAACTACCTCTCCAGTATGTGTCTTCTTAGACCCTCATGCTCAAACTGCACTGGCTGACTCACTGGACCCTAAAACACATAGTGTACTTTCCTTCCTCTGGGCTTTTTTGCTTATCCTGGAATGTCTTCTTTTCCTTTCCATTCTCAGTGAAGTCTGACTCACACTTCAAATCTTGCTCATTGGTCACCTTCTCTGGGAAGCTTTTCTGTATTCATGAGATAAGGTTTGCCTTTGATTTTCACATTTGGTTCTCACATTGATCAAAATATATACATTTGTCTGAGCAAGTACCTACTAGTGTTTCACTGATCTGTTTCCCCACTAGATTAAAAGTTCTTTGATGATTGAGAGAGATTGTATCCCAATGATCTGCATTTTCAGTGCCCTGGCACAGAAGAGACACTTCCTCTGTATTTTCAGTTAATTTGTATTTTCAGCTCCTGGCACAGAGGAGACACTTGCTCAATGTGTGTTTGTGCAATCCATGTTTCTCTGCCCTAGTTGAGATGAACATGTGGACAAATAATCCTAATTCAACAAGATAAATGTTACAAAAGAGAGCTGTGCAGGGAACTTGGTCTGAGGGTAGAAGGTGACGTCTCTAAAGGTTTCTCAGCTTTAAATGGGGAAGAACAGAATAAAATGAAAGAACAAGTCCCCTTTGAAAGGTCTAATGAAATGGTAGCAGAAAAATTGTTCACTCATTATCAAAGACTCACTTAAGATCAAGAACTGAGCTGCAAATTCAGCCAGGAAGGAAAAGTATACACTGCAACTTCTTGGAGTCCCTATATATCTTGATCATCCTCCCCAAGTATGGGGTGTGTGGGGGAACCCTATTAAAAACAGTATGAAGGCATTATTGATGGACAATAAAATCACAAATGGGGTCCACATATTTGGCAATTCTTCGAGTATGTAGATATGAATACAATTATCAGGGGTGTGGTGTGTGGAGGCCAGGTGCATGCATCTGAATATCACGCCTTCTGTGGCACAAGCCTAGGATTCACTTCCTTCTCAGTCACTGCCTTGGCCCACTATCCCCCCACTATTTATCAGCTCCATGCCTGGAGCCCAACACTCCCTGCATCCTAGTCCTAGGAATGGCTCTCTACAGACCATAATCATTTAGAGAGAAGAGAAACTGGAAGGGGGTGGGTTGGTATTGCCTGTGGAGGGTACAGGAAAAGCAAGATCACTAATCTCAGATGGAGCATGGAAGTCCTGCCATGTCTCCTAAGAGCTTTGGTTCTTGTTCTCCCTCCTCTCTTAACCTTCAGACAGCCTTCTAAGGGAAGTAGACTAGGGACTTTGATTTACATTTTACTGAGGAGGCTATTGAAGCCAGAGAAGCTAGAGAGCTTGTTTAAAGTACCACAGCAAACTAATTCTACTTTATACACCAGTGGGAAGGCAAGGGATATAATCTCTGTCACTCAGGTCAGTCAAAACTGGAACAGACCAAGCTGGAGATACTTCTAAATGTGCTAGAGAACTGCCCTTTGTACGAGTGTCCTAGAGACAGGTCAGAATGGGTTTAAAAATATGTATAAATTGATAGATTTAGATTTAGATAGACTGGATATAGACATAATATTTTCCCCCTGCTCTCCCATCCCTTTAATCCACATCTCAACTGACCACACATCCAAAGAAATTTTTCCAAAGAGACTAAAGAATAGATGTGGATTTGTGTAACTCCCAAGCACTTTTTCCTTCTTTCTCACCTACCTGTTCTCTTAGAAGTTTTTTCTTCCATTGCTAAATATCCGACACCAGGCTTTCATGCATTTACAGACCCCCAAAGCAGGTTCAGTGGGTGGCGTCAAAGAGAGCGCCTGGAGGTGATCCTTGGTTCCCTGGGAAGGCTGGGGAAGTACCCTGGGTAAGGGGAGGGGGTGTGCTCTGTTGAAATATCAGCTGTTGTGCTTGCCAAAGAAGTTCCTGAGCCAAGGAAGTTCCACCCAGAGCCTTTTCTCTTCAGGCCAACCATGTGTTCACCTTGCCCCAAAGGTCAGAACTAATATTAACAAGCCACTGCAAGACAGGAAAACTAAAACCTGCAATGGAGACAGGCAAGAACTGGATTATTTTGGGTCTGAGATTCAGCGTGTTCTTCAGTGTAAAAAGGGCACAATCCTTAGGGGAAGAGTAACTTGTCAATATAAAACAAGAGCAATAAAGGCATTTATTCTCTATGTCCTAGTTGTCCTACTCCTGGGATTCAATCTTGAGTCAATAATTCCCAAAGCATGAAAAAGCTAAAGGCACCAAAATATTTTATTTAAATTGCAGAGCTATTTTCTGATAGCAACTGAGAGGAAACTTTGAATTCCTCTAGGAGGAAAAGCAGCTTTTTGGGTCTTTTCTGCAGCTATTGAGGATAGTGACTTTAAAACTGTGGAATAATGGGGAAAAATGATGCTGCAATTCTGGTCAAGGAACTTAAGGATGCAGTTATGCTTCTTCCAGGGAACTGGATGTCTATTATTTCTATTTTTATGCTCTCAAAAAGAAGCCATGAAACAGTTGAATCCCTTGCTATCATCCTTTGTTCATTCATTCATTTAACAAATATTTATTGCCACTTAATATATGCTGTATCCTGTATTAAGGGCTGGAGCTGACAAGATGAATAAAAAATGTTCGTTGCTCTCAAGCTGCTGGCAGTCTAGTAGAAACAGACATAGAAATCAATGGTAGCCATGCATTGTGATAAGTTTTATGACAAAATGGACTATATGGTGCTGAGGGGGCCCAGGGAAAAAGATATAACTGGGAAGGTTGGTGGTCAGGAAAGATTTACTCAGGAAAGTAAAGCTTGAATTGATTAAGATAGGGTTTGAATTCTGACTTTATTGCTTTGAATGTGAGGCTGAGTGAATTCACTCAACTTCTCTTAGCCTCAGTGCCCCTTAATGGGTTGTTCTGAGAATGAAATGAGATAATGTATATGGAAGAGACATGGCTGAATTTGGAGACATTGCTGCTCAAAAGCTTTGGTAACACACTTAAATTCTCTGGGCCTTGATTTTACTCATCTGAGAAACGGAGCCAGGAACAAATCGTTAAAACATTCAGCTGCTAACCAAAAGTTCAGGGATTTGAACCCATCAGCTGTTTCATGGGAGATAGATGAGACAGTCTGCTTCTGTAAAGATTTACAGTTCTACTTTCTCCTATAGGGTCGCTGAGTTGGAATTGACTGGAAATCGACTCAATGGCAGTGGGACTGGTTTGGTTTTTATGAAGCCAATGATGGAGTCCCTGGATGGTACAACCAGTGAATGCATTTGGCTGCTAACCAAAAGACTGACTTGAATTATCCCAGAGGCACCTCAGAAGAAAGGCCTGGCAATCTACTTCCCCCAAAAAATCAGCCATTGAAAACTCTATAGAGTGTAGTTCTACACTGACACACATGGGGTTGTCATGAGTCAGAATCAATGGGATGGCAATTGGTTTTTGTGAGTCCCAAGACAGACAGACCCCCCCCCCAAATAAAGTTAGAAGCTGCCACATTGCAGTCCTTCCTCTGAAGTCTTGTCTCAGTAGGACAATTCTTTTTCTTTTATTGTGATTTGGGTGCAAATTTACAAAGCAAAATTTGTTTTACATTCAACAGTTCCTGCACATTTGATTTTACACCTCGATTACCATCCCTAACCATAACAAACTCTCCTCCCCTTTCCTTCCCTTAGACTACCCCCTCCCTGTGCCCTTAACTATACACTCCTGTCTGTCCAGCTTTCCCTCTGGGTGAATGCTGTCCCTCTGGAGCCCCATGGCCGAATGCTCTAAGGGGTGTATCTTCCTAGAGTAGATGTTCTGCATGTAGGCCTTTACACTGTTGGGCTGAGAGCCAATCCAGGGGAGTGAGGCCAATTCTAGGCCCAAAGGGTAACCTTGTCTTGGGGGTTCCACCAGACTCTATCCAACCAGTAATTCTGGTCATTTTGCGTTTTTGAATTTTGTTCTACATTTTTCCTCCCACAGTAGGACCATT